ATGCACCATTGAGCGTTAAGCTTTAGCTGTACCATTTACCAGCAGCTCCAACAGTCGGATGCTGTCCATAATCCAGAATTCTGGGTGAAGATAGTAATGTCCCAAACACCTGAAAGAGACGAATGAATACAAACCTAGTATGCAGTGCATGCAACCTCTCGACGTTGGCAGCCCCTCTCTTGGCAACAATCACAGTGAGCCATATTAGCACGTGAAATATCGGTATACCTAGGATAAGTGATAACTGAAAAACAGATGCATAAAAGGTCAGTTTACCCCATCCGATTATGAGGTATTTCCATAATTTTGGCTTTCCTTCAAACACCTGTACGACGACCAAGTTGTGAAGATAAAATCCTTCGATGAACATCCATGCAAACGCTACAGTTTTACCGTATTCCAAAAGGGCGTAAAATAACTCGCAAACGAACCTCTGAAATTGAATCGCTGGTATCACTGAACAGAACACAGGCGTATGAAAGTGTTTCAGTCCGTTTGTCTACCTGTAGACATGAAAGGGGCGCAATTTGAACCTCACTTTCGATTACCGTTGATTGTTACACATACATAGATCTTTTCTGTGACTGGACGTAACTTTACATGCTACATTTGCTATGACTGTTTGTGATCGTTGAGATAAGTGTACCATACCGGAAGGGGTTACAAGCTTCTTGCAGTTCCACGCAGCTAAGATAGTCTGTTGAAGCGATGACAGTGAACTCTGGCCATGAGCTGCACAGACATAGCAAGTTCAAAAGACTCTACCCTCGTTTTCTACTTGGAGGAATGACTGAACTGCAGAAATGGCCTTAAGCTATAGAACTCAATTCACTCGACTGTTGAACTGCTTGACTAGTTGAGTGATCCGGGGAATGACGGCCGCGAATTCATGCAAGTACGCCGCGAACGCTTACGGTTTGGCCTTTTCGTAAGATCAAGAAAGGTAGAAATGAGACGGTGCACTGTTTCGGTAAAATTTTGGATTGCGGCACTGATAAGCAGTTGTTTTTAACTGCCTTCGCTTGCTATGATCCTACTGATTGAAATGAACCGACCATCACTGTGACTCAGAACGTCGATCTGTTAGGAAAACTGTTTCTGATCATCTTGATCCATCCAATCGCTGAATCAAAAAGTTTCCGATTGATATTATCAGTCCTCTTCTTATTCGAAATCACACCATAGGATCATTCAGAATGATCAATTAATGTTTTGAGCATTGACAAGTACGTACATTTTCAAGATTTTCTAAACCTTGCTGTGACTTAAAGAAACTCAATTTAGCACTGACATAAAATACAGGAGAGTAGATGAATTATTTACAAACTGTGTGTCGTTGTTATATGCTTAGTTAGAATATAATCGACGGAAATGTGTTGCATAAGATTAGCTGGCAGCCATAATCAAAGGAGTTCTGGATTGGAGTTCCAGTCCTCATTGCTAGGTTACAAACAAACTGTACGTGTAATATATTGATCGTGCATGTAGTGAACATAATCATAAATTCTTTCCGAAGTAGAATGTGCAACTCTCGGATAAATGTATTCATTTAAAGTAGCACTCTTTGTTAAGGCACCTAATAAAATGTTTGGTTCAGTCCTAGGTTTAGGTCAGCTATAACTAATAATGCTGAAAAATCGGGAAATATGGTAATCATTCATCATTCTGGTGAATTTCTTTGTAAGCAAAGGCGAAACTTTTGGATATGAATACGACATCTTTCATTTTTGTCACTCCACTGTGATTATGAATAGCTGGTAAACGTGTAAATCATGTGACTAACATGTGACTCATGGTTTGATGTAATGCACTGCAGAAGCGAAGTCGGTCGACGAGCAACAAGTTGTGAACATTTCCTTAACCCGAGGAGCGTAGAGATTATATCAACTTATACGCACCACCGTGTTTATTGTATATCCGTCGTCAGACAGCTGAGAACGGGAAATGTTTTCCGTGAATATCTGATCGATGTAGATCATCAGACGAATGACGACTGTCAGCAGGATAGCGAGCATCAGCTGCACGTGAACCTGATTTCGAAAGACTCTAAGACGCCTGAAACGTAACGAATGGCATGTCATTTTCGAAACAGCTAGGTTATTAACCCATCACCATACCTGTATGCGGTGAATATCGTTATGGCAATGATGAGGCTGAGAAACGACAGAGCCAACCCAACGAACTCCAGTTTCCTTGCTGATCGAGCCACGCTTTGTGCTTTCTGTAAAACAAACTCCTTTCGCAAATTATAAATTTATAAAGAAAATGCTAATACGGTGAAAATCACAATAAGTAGAATAACGGAGAACTAAACGGCTTGAGCATATCGAACATTTGGCATTGTCGTGCTCAAAACTCTATCCTTAGAGCTTGCCCAATCAGCGAGACACCAAAAGCCCTAGAGTAACTAGCTGCTGACCCAGAACCCTTGATAAATAACAGTCCAGATGGATAACGATGACAACAGTACGGCAAATTCTTACTGTGCCACTGGGTGATGAGCAGATCAAAATTTGCATAGCTCAAATGGATTTGGCATAGCTGATGGCACGGCGAAAACTCAGAGAATGGGAATCAAGAACGGCACCATTAAAATGCCAAAATGAACATGCATCAACTTGTTGCGAACCCTTGATATTCGTTCGTGAACAGCCTTTAACCCGCGGAAGAGTCGTGCTGACATAAACCACCGGTGTGCCAGCTGTTCCCACGCGTTGGCGTCCCAGCCGTCCATAGATAACGACGCAACCAGAAAGAAGCCGCTGCGACTTTCGAAGCTGATTCGCTAACGGCGCATGGTCAAAAAGAAACCGTCCAATCCTGGAGGACTCGTTGGCCCCTTGACAGTGTCAAACATTATGAAAGCGACCGTACCTCTGTACTCTATAATTGATGATTATGCGTCTATTTACGTGCTTCTTCTGAAACACACCCGTTTAGTTATGAAGCCGTTGTCTAGTGACAAACTACGTTCAAAGTTGTAGCATTTTATATGAAACTTTGCAGCTTGTTACATAAGCGATTACAAGAATGGGAGGAATTGTAAGACCAATCGGCAAGCAGCACCTGCTTTAAGCTAGATTGCAAGAAGATTAAAAATATTATTCATGGAAGCTTTGCATTGATAGCAAAGTAACACGGGTTGAAAGATCATGCGGATTCAAACCGACAGTTCTGTTACCGTACGACTGAAACCTCTTTCGTCATATAAGCATCACTCCTTACAACAAACGCTTTTATAAGTGAATCAAAATTTGCGTATGACGTTTAACACTTCTAAATAGAACATGCCACACTGTATACTGACTTGCAAAGTTGGAACGTACCTCAATAACATCTGAGTCGATTAGCATGCATACGAAGTAATTGGTCCAACCTGATGGATTTGAGAAATCACCCTCGGACTGTCCAGCCCAATATCCCGATTCATGACAATATTTTGTCACGTACTCTAAAATTCAAATAACAATTCATACCTTCTTTTACCATCAACAGACTAGGTCAAATTTTATAGTGAACTTCAGTCATGACTGTTCTGGTACACACAAATTATGATTTATTACAAAATAACGTCTTTCAGGTATGGTAATATTAGCTTGTTGAAAATTTTAATATCTAAATTTAATATCCTCCTTTCTTAAGTTATAGCACCGGCTAGTTCAAGGGACGAATTTTAATTGTGCTGAATGTCGAAGAAAACGAAGAAGCATAAATGCGCAATAGAGACCATCATTTTTGCACCTGTAAACGACGCCCTTACCTTCTAAGTCCGTGGCTACTTGCAACTCTCTTCACCAAATAAGGTTGGTACCCTTAACAGATTAATTTATGAGGGAACAGTTGGCAAGTATATGTCAATAAAGTTCAGCCCGGCGTTCGACGAAGCCTCAAACCCCTACACTGATTGAGAGCTGTTTGGAACCGACTCGGGGCTCGTTTCTACTTTGACCGAAAGGGTTTGGTATCGCGTCTGATAGCAAGAAAAAAATTCCTTAATTAGTCAATGCATGCTCATTCTCCTCCCCTGAAATGCAATGCCTCTTCTTTGAACTGCATCGGTAGATAAGCCGTGATACGGAAAATGGCACAGCTGGGAGGCCACCTGTTGTTTGCACAATCCGGACATGTTTACTTTCTCCGACGCCGATAATCAGGTGCACATCTTGGTTTCGTTCCATAATTAATGAGGCCAGATGGAAGTTGGACCGAAAAAAATCACCTTTCATTCTCCAGGAAAGGCCGTTCCCTGCTCTCTCGGCACAAAACCGCAATTAAAGCAGATGGAGCAGCTCAAGTATCGCGAGGATTCGTGGTTGACAGCAGGCAGGGGATTTAAATTAAAGGAAGAATTGTTGAAGCTAGTCAGGCAGTGCTAGAGTTTGCAAACCAGTTTATTGTGATAAAGTGATAAGTATTATTGACAAGCTGTCAAAAAGTGCCCCTAAAGGTGTGTTGCCACCGTTCCCTATGATCATAGGTACATAATACTGAAGGAGGCACCGCGATCCTTGAAAATAAGAGGTAAAAATTAGGTTATGCAGAAAA